GTCTCACAGAGAGGCACTGAGTCTGCAAACTAAAATGAAGCACTCTGGCTCAGTGCATCGCAGAGGGAAAAAAGCTAAAAGCTATAATCCTTGTCCTCAAACCTTGTATGCTTAGCTGAGGAAATGAGCCACAAACCTACATACTGAGGTATGTATTCGTGGAGTATTCATGGAGAAGGGTGTAATGGAGAGCCATGAGAATAAGTCGTCCAGTCCAACGTAAAAACCCAAAATTCAAGTGGACACTGAGATGCCTGCTTAATACCTGAACCTCACACCTAAACCATCTGTAAGGTCAGTCCTTTACCTCCATTTTAAAGGTAGTTAAAAAAAAAAAAAAAAAAAAAGTCTTAGCTATCATCTGGCCAAAAAAGGCAGAAATAATGTTTGCATGCTTTGATTTGGGATTCTTCTGAAGAAGACACCACTCCCACCCCCAAAACTTAGTCGTACAATTACTTTATACATAAAAGAAACTATTACAGATGCAGAATGTCCAAGGTCAGAGAACACACAGCCTGCTTTCTTTCCAGTGTTTGAAAGGGAGGGGAGAGTATGCATAGATTTATAAAGACACTTCATAGTTATACTTGGACTTGATTCAGGTTGTCTCTTATTTCTCTTTCCAGCAACTGTGACCTAACCAACATATGGAATTTTTCATATAAAAATTACAGAAGTTCTGGGCAAACTCCAAAATTAATGAACTATCATCACTTGAAGTTACAAAAAAAAAAATTCTGTTTCTTAGCAGGTTAAAACTACAGGAGACAAATTGTTTTAATATTTCTAATGAGATACTTGAGAGGACTGCATTTTTTCTTCTGGTATAATTCTTCATAAAATTCCCTGTAAGTAAGAAGAAATCCAGAAACAAAAAGCATCTTGAAATGACACTGTTCCTCCTCTCAGACAACCCTAATATCCAACATCCATTCTCACTTCTGAATGGATGGAGTTTCCACTTGAATATAGATATTGTGACCCTTTGCTACAGGGATGCAAATAATAGATAGAGGGGGATTCCTATTTCTGTATGACTATAATCAGAGAACGACAGGCTCCTCCACCAACACTCATGTATGCTGATATTCTAGATGTCTGATAAGCTTGTCAAAGGACAGCGTACACATCAAATATAAATAGGGATCTGTAGTATGCCAAATGAATCAGTAGAAATCAAATAACTATGTTCACTGTTGAGTGAAAACTGAAACGTCTCTATTCTTCTAATGAAGTAGTGACCCTGTCCTAAGAACAACAGCCCCAGCTCAAAACTCAACATCTCTGTGTAGTACCTGTGAAAGGACTGTGTAGCATGGGAACGAAGATGTCAGTACTGTTTGCAAACCACACTCCATCAAACCCCAAGTGATGGGAGGCAAAGAGTGATTCCTTGACCCAACTTGAAACACAACCCACCTCACTCATCTTGACTCTTCCATGCCATTTCCTTAAAAAGCAAAGTGCAAAAGCCACCCTGAAGACTTGCTGAAGTCTTTGTAGGCGAAGAGGACCACAAGGAAACCAAAGCTGTCTTCTTCACCCCTGGGTGAAGACTGAGAACAGGCTCTGCACAGAATCCAAGCTATGTGAATGTGAGCAGACCATAAAGAATGTTTTTCTGTGACGGGATGGAAAACACCATCCTCCATTTTCCATCAAAAGGTCCATCATAAATGCTTAGCTTTCAGGTGGATGAGGTGGTGCAGTGGGTCAAACTCTTGTTGTAGAAACCTGACAAGCCTGGGTTCAGTGGCAATATGGAGGAAGAGAACTAACTCACAAAGGTTGTGCTATGACTACTATGCATACATGTGAGCATGTGCACACACGCATGTCAAACCCACACTCAATAACTCTCTATATATATCTAATATATACACATATAATTTGATGCTTAGCTGAGAAGCTGGAGTGAAGTACCACAGACAGTACACAAATTAATAGTGTGGCCATGTTACAATAAACTCCCAAGTGCAAACTGGGGCTAAAGCCTGCATCTTCTCCACCTCTGAACTCAATGGTCCCTTCCATAAACCTCATTGGAAAGACAAGAACACAAAGCATATAAATTTGCCCATGCCCGTTGCACCTCTTTCACCCTCAGTCCTACGGTTGCCAAGGAAAATTTCACAAATGCCAACAAGTAAAAGAGACACAGAATCAAGAATACCAAGTAGAGTCTGGTACTCGATGACAGAAACTGAGCTACACAGCTGACACCCATCATCTCAGGCCACATGCATAATACCCTAGGAGGGAAATGCTGTTAGTTATTGCAATTTCCCCAAAGGAAAACCAAGGCCTGAGCAATTAAAAGTCTCCAAACCCAGACTCATTGTTACCAGTATTTGACACAGGTCTATACATCAGCACAAAATTCACAATCTACACACCACCCCTCCCCATCTCCCCCACTCTCCCGTAAAGAAGAAATGGCAATGTCCTAGGAGAAACTAAATGGATTGCAGGATTAGAGGCATGATGTTAAGATCTGGTCCATTAGACTGATCTTTCAGACGTGACCTAATTTACCTTTGCTAAATTTAAAAATGCCTCACCACAAAGAGCCTTTTCTTCCTCAAGCCCGCATTTTAAACTTCATTTATACATCGAGGTATACACTAGGAGTGAGACTCCCACAGTTCACACAAGTCTAAAGTGTGCAAACTCAACAGATGCCAAGTCTCACTGCTCCTGTCCTTCCTGTATCCATCGGCAAATACTGAGCAGCATCTGTGATGAAGCCCAAATCTTCTTGACATGACAACCAATACTGCTACCACCAACCACCACCACCACCCCCATGTAAGAACCACTGACATCCCTGGGAAGATGGCTTCAGTGTGCAAGGACTGTACAGGGTGGGCATCCCGACTCAAAAGCTCTAAACTGTTGGGGTACTGACATGGTGTACAAGTGGAAGATTCCACAACCAATCTTAGGAGGTGGGTGGCAGTCAAACTCTATAAATGGTAAAGACACTGTATTAAATCACCTCTGTGTGTTAGGTACTTGTGATACACAATAGCCTCCCTGTTCAGACTTAGGCTCAGTCCCTAAGACATTTTAATGTACAGGTATCTAACATGTAGAAATCTGATGGCCTGTCTCCTCCTCCCTCCTCCACCCTTTTTATTACCCCAGCACGCAGCTTGAGAAATTCTTCCAAACTGGTCATATCCATCACAAGGTTCTTCATGGGCTGCCCTATATGAACTCTAGGGAGGAGACAGGGACAGATTCACTAAAATAACAATTGACAAACTAAAACTATAGCCTGTGAACATTACCCAGGCAGCTACCTATTTCTACACAGCCTGTAAAGGACAAATGCTTCTGAAAACTTGAAAATGCTCAGTTCAAAATTAAAATAACATAAAAACAAAGCATTTCCTTGTAAGATGAAAGTTATGAAGACTCAAGTTTCAGTACTCACAAAGAATTTCGTCACAGCATATCCAGTGTCACCTGGATCGGCTCTGATACTATGCTGGGAGGGCTGTAGCAAAGACTCTGTCCTGGAAAAGTCTAGAATGGTTATGATCTAGTTCTTTCCAGGTTTTAAAGAGTAGCAATCCCTAAATCCAAACTGTCAGCTTTCAGCTGGTGGTAGCACCCAAACCAGGCACACACCTACAGAGATGACAGGGTCCACCAGAGATAAGGACGCCAATCATGGCCCTATTCCCCCAGATGCACCACTCAAGGCCCCATGCACAACTGAGTAATGGGAGAAGTTTTGTTTCTTCATGGCCATTTGCAAGGATGCCCTGTAACTTCCAATTTCCTGCCTAAGCACATTATTATTCTAAATTGATGAACTGTAAATAACAGGCCACTTTACGCCTCTCCATGACTGATACCACAGCCACAGAGTACACAATGATAAATTTTCTTTGCATGTCTTGGCAAGAAGCTATATGTATGCAATTTTGGTCTCCATCTCCCAATTTCCTTCATTTATCAGAAAATGGTGACAAAAGGCTCTAATTAGATAATTCTAATCACAAAGAAGGTGGTGTGATGGAAGACTTCGCCATCACTGTCTGTGCACAGCAAAACAAAACAGATTTGGCCATTCTCCCTGCAGGGGCAGGAGATTTATCAGTAGACAAAAGAATGCAAAACGCCAACAGATAAGGGGTAATTAAAGATCAGGCCTATAAATTTTACACTGACATAAATTTAACAAGATTTGCAGGTGGAAATTCAGGACTGAAAAGGAAGCCCTGATCTGAAGAGAATTGCAGGAGTCCTATTTGCAACAACACTGCATAATACATAGATTTATTATGAAGAATAATACCGCACCTCCAAGCCCTTTCAAACAAGGAATTTGAATTATTCAATACCACAGTAATTTCAAAGTGGTCTGTCTTCAAGTATTCCTCCTTAGTTTGCCATAAATTTTTGACTTTTAACGTCTCTTTTAAAAATAACAATTCACCTAGTTCATTTTTTTTTTTTTTTTTTTTTAAGTCAGGTGAAGGGAGCATCATCCAAAATGGTCTCGACATGCAGGAAAATTATTTCTGATGTAATATGCACTAAAATTATTAACAACGCTTTCTCAGTTCACTGAATCAAAGGTGCAAAGTAAAACTTGGCTTGGTACATGGCAGAGCAGCAATAAAGGCAACCAACAAGGCTTGGAAGTAAAGCTGCATCTCTTAGACAACAGCAGGGACACCCCGAAGGCTGTCCAATCCTTTATAATGCTAGGGACATTAAGGGTCACCCTAGCATCCTAAAGGTAACACTCTACCTCTCAAAGAAGTACAAGCCTTGTACAATGACTCACTAACAAGAAAACTTGAGGGACAAACACAGGCAGAGGCAGGGCATTGAGAAAACATGGAAAGAGCAGGCTTCAAAGTTTCAACTTTTAACAAAGCAATATTTGCTTGAACAAACAGGGCTCAGGTGAATTCCTGATTCTGCTTTTCTTTAACCCTTCCAGGGCACTAAACAACTTGGCATACAGCCAGACTCACCCGAATATGCCCAGTAGGGGTCTCCGGATGCCTTGCGCCTGCGGATCTGCACAGAGCTGCCCTGTCTGCTCTCCTGCAGGGCCCCCACATAGCCTTCGGTCAATGCTGGAAGAGAGGAGAACACAGTGAGTCACTCATCACGCATAGGTGGACGCAGGGCACAGGAAAGATGTTCCGTCATATATAGCACAGGTAGGCACAGAAGCACAGGCCTTTGGGACTGTCTGAATACAGCCTCTGCTTTGCCTTGTTATGAGGCGTTAGTGCCTGTGGTCCCAACACTTAGTTGAGGCAGGAAGATTACCTCCTGTAAGAAATCCCAAAGCAAGACATCAACACATTTACTGTTCATATTAATAACATCTATGATGGTCTGTGTTTGAATTTAGGTTGCAGCTTGTTTGGCTGTCTGTTTGTTTGAGACAGTATCCAGATAACCTGCAAGTAACCTTGTAGATCAGGTTAGCCTCAAACTCCCATCCAAGCTCCTGCCTACCCGGATTCTCTCTGCTGAGATTACAGGTATAACCCCCAGCTGAACCTTCACTGGGCATTCCCTATTATAAATATTGTATTATTTAATCTGTACAATATCAAGTGTGGACACCAAGTGATAATAAGCTTCAATCAAGAAAATAACTTTTACTTGCCTAAGCTCCAATCACCTTTTAAACCAAAATGTGTCCTTTGGATTCTAACTACCTGAATAAATGTGTTGTGGGTGTAAAAAGTCTCCTGGGCACATGTGTTCTTCTCTGTGTTTGTTACTTGTATGTGTTGGGGAGGGGTAATTTCAGGTGCAGAGACGCTCACCGGGCAAGCCCCAGTGTCACAAAAAGCACATAGCAGAATTGAGAGCCAAAGAAATGCATCAAAACCACAGCCCCTGTCCCCCAAAGGAAGCACATGCCCTGGAGACCCGTCTTGCTGAATACCCATTTTCCATACCCTTTGCCCACAAACAGAATCCCAAAGTAGGACAGCAAAGCACCCAATCTTCCCCTGCCAATGGTCAGAGGAAGTACTGTATAATGGTGATAAACTTCTGAAAACTCAAAAGAAAGCCAATCCACCCACCAAAAGCGAAAGGATTCTCTACAGCAATGGAAAGTTTCTATGGGCACACACCCTCCAACCACACCCCACCCTTAATCCTTTCCATCACATGCAAATTGCCTCTAGTGATGAGCCCACACCTAAACCACAGATGTATACAAGGACAGATATCACAAGTGTCCAGATTCCAAAACAATACACACCACCCACCTATATTAATACTCAAATGCACCCGAACAAAATCAAGGCTGCTTTTAGGAAGCAGAGAGAATGGTTAGGAGAAATGTCCATGTGCTCTGAGATGAGGAATGAGAAGAGCAATGCTTAACTTCCATTTCTACTGCCATTCTTTAGCAATGAGGGTGTTATCTTTGATGAGAAAGTGGTGGCCAATAAAAAACAGCACAACTGCAAGAACGAGTCTAAGACTTGCAGTCAGGGCTGGAACACACACAGATGCTCCTGAAATGAGCCTATAGGGAGCATGTGAATGGAAGGAACTCCAGACATGAATGACAAAGGGAAACCCGTTTGTTCACTAGTCCTGAATAACAAAGTAAAGAATATTTAAGTTGCAGCTCACTGTCAGGTGCAATAAAACTGTGGCCACTCACCATCCCACACATCCTTCAGTTCTGTAGATGAGCCACACAGCACCAGTGAGTGATAGTTCTCACCTAAGTTCATAACTGCAGCATCCCCTCCTGCTTCCTTCATGATGAACAGTCAGTTCATTTCTGTGCATATGTGTTTAATATGCACCTGCTTACAGTGCTTCACACAACGCCCTGAAGCCCTTTGTCTCCGTACCAGGACAATGGGTACAGCATATCTTGACAATGTGAGCAATAAATGCCAAGTCTATGAGGGTTTGGAGTATTATCTCAGTTTCCTTGTCTGTAAAATGAGAAGCCTGGACAATATTTGAGAAGACATTAGGACTTACCGCATGCAGAGCACCAGCCTCAGCTCCGAGTCCAACAGAACAAAAGATATGGGGATTGATTTTGACTAACTGACCTCTTCCTGGATGCAGGTGAACTTGCAGGAATTTAATTGTCTGGAATGCATAAAGATGTGACCAACGATTGGTGGCTGCCTCAGCTGCAGCCCATAATTTTTAGTTTATGATTGTTGGAAAACAAGGTCTCATGTAGTTCAAGATGGCTTTAAACTTTTGGTGGCCTTGATGCCATGTTCCCAATTTGGGGATTACAAGTGTGTACTTCAGCATACCCAACTTATTGGTGAACAGAGACTAAACTTTGTGCATGCTAGATCAGAGCTCTACCCTGGGGTACATTCTCAGGCCCACATTCAGTTGACTTCCATGCCTCACCCTCCTTTCTCTAAAATGACAACTGAGCTCACTGGGGGATGATTTCTCAGAGCTTCTCCTGGGTATTTATTGGGTTCACAGACCATTTTCCATTTTCTTCTGCTCCAGTAAACACTACTGAATTTAAACTGAACTGTTTTAGAGGTGCACTCCCTGAGCACCATGGGAATAGGAATTTGTTCCACAGTCAATGCTTCAGAAGCAATCACAGCCCATTCTGTCCACCCACAGCTACCCAGACGCCCTTATCCCTCCAACACACACTTGCCCTTCTGTAAATTGAAGCCACTGAGTCTCCACACACCAGCATCCTGAAGATCCATGATGAAATCGTGCAGAAGGGTATGAGCCAGGCTTCTTTGCTTATAGAAGGGCTAGACAGAAGCCCACTGAAGTGTTGGGACACGGTTCCCAAAGGGTGAGGTGGTATGTAGTGAGACAGTCCAAGTATCAAGTATGGGGTCAGCAGAACAACAAAACCTGGAGCCAAGCCAGATCAATTCTCTTGACAGCATTAAGCCCTGGCCAGCACTAACTAGAAGCTAGTCCTGAACCTGTAGAGTTGGAGGGTTACCACAAACTGATGAGAGTGCAGAACTCTGTATGTGTCACCTGTGCAAATAGTCTATACTGACAATGACTTTAAACAGTCACTTCAATTGCTGATTGACAATTTACATATTCACAAATGGTCGTCCTTGTAAAAGATTATCAATTCAGAGATAAATTTTTGTTTGTTTTTTGTTTTTCAAGACAGTTCTCTGCAGCTTTAGAGCCTCTCCTGGAACTTACTCTGTAGACCAGGCTAGCCTGGAACTCACAGAGGTCCACCTGTCTCTGCCTCTGAAGTGCTGGGATTAAAGGTGTGCACTGCCGCCGCCGCCGCCGCCGCCGCCACCCAGATCAGGGATAAATTTTTTAAAATAGAAATCACCTTCCTGGACTCTGTGCTTTGAAATTCAAATTAAATTATTTTGGAGTAGGACCCAGATAATCACTTTTAAAATGTCCTCGATGATTTTACATATATATGTTATATGATTTTACATATATGTTTATAAGGGGTGTGTGTGGCTTGGTCTCTCTCTCTGTCTCTCTCACACACACACACACGCGCGCGCTTGTGCAGTATGTGCGCGCGCACACACACACACACACACACACACACAAAGAAAGATAGAGAGAGAGAGAGACAGGAACAGCCAAAAGTCACCTTCTGCCTCCACTATCTTACTTGTAGGACCACTGCTCACAGAGCAGGATGGAAAGAGCCTGAAAACCCAACAGGCAGATACTTGGAGAGGTGATTCAGAAACCACCAGGGAAACAAAGCATTCATTCTATCCCTGGGTACCACATACTTTCCAACAAATTAGTAAATATGGTAAAATAACTATATTTACTTTTCCTGTCCATTGTGCCAGTTATGTATGTATGGTTCCTTATCCCACCTCCAGGATGGAATTGTGTATTAATGGCACCTGTATAAACTAAGGAGGATGATCTAAAGTCCTCACCTCAAATATCTTTCCATTGAAAACCGAGGTAATCCTCAGTGCATTTTTAAAAACTATCTGAATAGCAGTCAAAACATATATAATGTATACAAAGCACAAAGCAACTTAATATTTTCTTGAAGGAACAGAGGCTTGCAAATGGTAACAATCTGTGGTTCCCAGTAAAGCTACAGACTCAGCATGCCAAATTCAATCAATTTTAATACTCCGGACTCTCCTCAGCTCCAACAGTGAATGGCAGCAGCATGCCATGCTATAGTATGGCTATGAATCATGCTATTGATTTTCAATATCTTCTGTGCAGAAAATTAAATTATGCAAATGCATGCCTTTACGGATCCTTACCTTAATGTGAAATTGCATACTTGCTATGTCAGCAACTTAATTACACAATTAAAAATGGAGCATACTCATGAAAATGTGTGGTTTCACTCTTCAGAACAGACAATACGTGTAAATCTGCCTATGGTTATCATTTGAATAACAAGGAGGGGCAGATACTGTTATACAAACATAAACTCTAGCAAATTCTACAACCAAGCCCCTCTGGTTTATGGATATGAAGTCATTTGTCAGCTGAAAGCATACAGGGGCCTTTCGTGGTGTGATATATAATGTTCTAAATTTTTGGAACACTTGTATGCAACACAGAAAAGCCCAGTGGTATACACAGATACGTATATTTCTGAAAGAGGTCAACTCTAATGTCATTTAAGCAATGTAAACATATCCCCAGCTGACTAGCAAACCTGGGCAGAGGAATTTCAAACTGAAGCAGTTTTTGAGAGTCTTGAGTATAGAATAATCAAATGTGTTTAGGAGGGACAAACTCCTGTCATCCCAGTCTAGCAGTCCTGAAAAGATGAAAGTGTAGAGTTAAAGACCATCAGAATTAACTAGTCAATGATGCTTCCATCTCTCTCAGCAGGAGGACTCTTAAGTCAACTTGGTTGCTAGGCAGAGAGCCAAATGAGTGGCAGGCATTTTCATCAGGGGGTTTTCAGACACTCTCAGAACTTCTACACAGCCTACCTCATTTCCAGCCTAAAATGAAAAAGATAAAAAATGTTTCAGACCCAAAGGTCCAATCCCTTCCTATAAAAATATCCTGTGAGTTACCTATTACTGCAGATATCAACGAAACAGTTTCCTGTGTGCATGATTTAATTTCCCAGAGCTACTGGACACAGTTT